CCAGGGTTGCCATTCGAAGCCCCGTTTGTATTCACCATCACCCACCCCTGGCTAGGAGGAATCCACCCAATGTCCGCCACCACGCGCTCCGCCCTTCTGTTTCTGTGACTGGACAGCAAGTCTGGCGCATTCCAAGAGTCCGTCCACAGCCTGCACTTTTGAATAATTGAATGAGCAAGCGATGGAGCCGATAGAGCTGAACCCACCCCCTTGAAAGACGCAGTGGTGCGGTTCTTCCACAATAACCAGCTGGCAATCCCGAAAAAACCTGGCCAACTTATGCCCGATACAGAGGACTCCTTACTCAGCAGATTCCTCCTAAACCACTCTTCATGATTACCGCTGAAGAACTCATTCTGCTGCTGCTGAGGGACCTGTCTCGCCCAAAAAAACATAGCAGGGGCGCAATCTCGAAGGATGTGAAGGGCCGTCTCAGGACAACCTGTACACCTCAAGCAGAGAGGAGAGTCGGCCGCTTTCCTCTGATACCGAAGAGTATTGCTGGCAATTTTCCCTTGATAGGCCAGCCAAACAAAGCATCTGACCCTCTCCGGAACTGGCAGATGCCAAATTACCTTCCACACTCCATCACTCATCTGCTCCGCCTGGTTCGTGAGAAGCTCAAAGGCTGACTTTGTGGAGAACCGCCCATCAGAGGTCCCCGTCCAGAAAATCGAGTCCTCGTGGGGTGAAATGGTGTCCACCGCCATGCTCGTGATCCTGCTGCAAATTTCCGGGGGAAGGAGCTCCTCGAACTTCTCGGTACACCATACGCCATCTTCTTGCACAAAATCAGCCACCGCCGCCTCCTTCAGATCCTCTGGAATGTCTCCAAGCGCCCTCTCCTTAAGCGGTACCTGCAAAATCCATGGATTAATCCAAAACTTAGTTCTTTTCCCGTTTTTAATATTCCAAGCGCACCCTCGCTTGAGGAGTTCCGCAGCTTTCGTGAAGCTACGCCAGGTGAAGGAACTTCCCTTTACTTGCTGGAGAACATCCAAGCCCTTCCGTTGACCGCCATACTTCGATATGAGCAACTGCTGCCAAATGTTCTCTTTGTCTTTAAGGAGCCGCCAGCCACCTTTCGCGAGCATAGCCAGATTAGCTAGACGAGTCTGCCTGATACCCACACCCCCTTGGCTTTTGGGTATCGTCAATCGCTCCCACGCAACAAGGTGAAATTTAGGCTTATTCTCCTCATCACCCCAGATGAAATCCCTGCTTATTTTATCAATACTCTTGCACACACCACTAGGAATCAGCTCCGTATTCATAGTATAAACAGGTAGAGAGGCAGTGACCGATTTCTCCACGGTGAGACGGGCAGCAAAGGATAGTCGCTTCGCCTTCCAGGGAGCCATCTTCTTCTGAATGCGGAGTATCAGAGACTGGTATCTCCCTTTGGTGATCCTTTCTTGAATAGCTTGGATCCCGAGATATCTCCCCAACCCTGCCTTCAGAGGGATCCCTGCACAAGAACTCAGATACTCTGCTTTTCGTCTGGCAACATTCGGAGAGACATAGAGAATGGACTTGCTGAAGTTGACCCGCTGCCCGGAGCTGTAGCAGAAGTCTGCAAGACATTGCTTCACTACCCGGATCTGTCGTCTTTCTGCTTCTGCGAAGAGTAACAGATCATCTGCAAAAAAAAGATGAGTTTTCTATAAAATAAATATATGCACCTATACCAAAACAATAAACATCAAAATACCCACCATATCCTCAGTAGAGATGGCAATGGATCGGGTTGACTAGGGTTCTGCCAAATTCAAACTCAACACAACGGGTATATCCATAAAAGAAAAATCCAACGGGTTGTGGAACCTCAAACCCAACAACTGAGTATCCGCGGGTTCATGGATACCAATGGGTTCTGATGGTAAAAATTGAACACCAACTTCTCAAACAAATTATCCATACAAAAAACACCAATCTAGTATATATAAACAAACCCACAAATTATCCATACAAATTGTTAAATTAAATATTAAAGATAAACATCCACGATTAATCGAAGGGTTGTGGGAGTATGTGCGTGAGCGGGTATTGTCACATACCAACTCTTGGTCGTGCGACACTTAGCACTCAAGTCTCGTTAGAGCACTAAGTCATTCTAGCTTGCACTCACTCAAACTCACAAGTGTAGATAAAATTCTAGAGATGGAAAACTCTCAATTCCTTTATGAATGAAAAGTGAGGGAGAGGGTTGATAATATAAGTATCATCTCCACCAAGTACAATGTATGAAGGCCATCATTAATGAATGAACCTAGAAGTCCCCCCATACATGAACTAGCCCCATACATTAATGATAATTAATAGGGTTAATACTTTATTTTGGCCCGAACTATGACCATATAATCAATTTTAGTACGTGGTTTCAGAAATTAACATCCTGACCTCAACTATGCAGCATATGGACTCAATTGGCCCGACACATGGTTTGACCGTCAATTTGAATGGTCAACACCGTTGACCATTAGTCAACACGCCATGTCATTGCCTCGTCAGCCTAAAAATTATTTTTAAAATAAAATATAAATTTTATTATATATTTTTAAAATTTTATTTTTTTGGTTAATTTGAAAATGATAAATAATAGAAATTAGGAAAATAAATTGAATTTTGATTTTTTAAATAATTTTTAGGCTGACGAGGCAATGACATGGCGTGTTGACTAACGGTTGACGGTCAAACCATGTGTCGGGCCAATTGAGTCTATATGCTGCATAGTTGAGGTCAGGATGTTAATTTCTGAAACCACGAGCCAAAATTGATTATATGATCATAGTTCGGGCCAAAATAAGGTATTAATCCTAATAAATATGGTGAATGTATGTTCACCCATACATGAATCATAATAAATAAAGTGGATGCATGTACGTTGGTGCATGAATTTGAAGATGCATGCATGTACCTACATCATTCTAGAGTCTTCTAGAATCTTCTCTGTGACATTCTCCCACACCAAATTTACGATGTCCTTGTCGTGACGCCTTTTTCGTATTGGCGGTGTGGTAATGATGTGCTTCATGGTGAGGCAAGGGTGGTCTTGGTCCTTGCACAAGTTCCACTCCACCAAGATGTCGTGCTCTCCTCGCCCTCTTGCGCCGAGACCATAAGCACCTCGTCCGTCGCATCTTGGGTATTTCCTTTGCTACCTTGGCTTGCTTTGTCATGCAAGCCTTAAAAGCATCAAGTGCCCCTTCAATTAGTGGCACCACCCGCCACTTTCCTATCTTCTTCTCGTACGGAACGGCAAGCTTCAACGCTGCATTCGTGTTGAGAAGATCTTCGTGAGCATTGCCTCGTACCAAGGCTTTCGTCCTCCCTTCGTCGAGCTTCGCCTCTATGAAGCTTAAACCCACATCAGTATAAAGAGTGTCTTCCTCTCCCTTTGTTGCGCCCGTCACCTTTAGGTTGTCCAACTCGAAAGGCTGGCCCTCCACACTTGTAGCCTCCTCCTCTTCACTTGCCGAGTATTTGGCTACGAATGTGGAGGAAAACTCCCTCCTCTTCTGACAATCACGCACACGTGTGTCCCATCACAAAAGAAGCAAGGTGAAGGAACTAATCATCTTCGCTTTACCTCCGTAACACATGTGCTCTCATGTATAAGAGAGTGTTTCTCGTAGCTCCCACCAGTGTTTTTGCTAGACGCACCAAACTCTTCTGACGCAACATCGCTTTCGGATGCCTCTTGCTCCTTAGGCTGCAAAGCATCTGCCCCAGACGCACCGGACTCTTCCGTTGGCCATGAAAACTCCATACACATGCTAGGTTGTGCCACGAATGCACCAAACTCTTCTGCAGACTTCTTTAGGAGACTCATCCCCCCTTGAGCCCCATAACCTCTTCATGCACGCAAGCCAGCTTGGTCATCAACGTCTCCTTCAATGACTAGGCCCACCTTTCCACTAAGTCATGAAATAGAGACGTGCCCCTCTAGGCCTTGCTCATATGCTCGTCACCACGAACGAATCCAGAAGCCATCTCATCGAGGTTCTTTCTCTCTTTATGAGTCACGAGCGGGGCTCTGGTACCACTTGTCACGGACCAACTCTTGGTCATACGGCACTTAGCACTCAAGTCTCGTTAGAGCACTAAGCCAGCCTAGCTTGCACTCACTCAAACTCACAAGTGTAGAGAAAACTCTAGAGATGGAAAACTCTCAATTTCTGGATGAATGAAAAGTGAGCGAGAGGGTTGTTTATATAGGCATCCTCTCCACCAAGTACAATGTATGTAGGCCATCATTAATGAATTAACCTAGAAGCCCCCCATACATGAACTAGCCCCATCCATGAATGATAATTAATAAGGTGAATGTAATGTTCACCCATACATGAATCATAATAAATAAAGTGGATACATGCATGTACCTACATCCTTCTAGAGTCTTCTAGAATCTTCTCTATGATAGTATCCATGGATAAGATATATCTAAACCCGAATCTAACCTAACTCGCTGAATAGTGCAACGAGTTTCAACTCGAATCCAACCCATAATCCGTCAACTCAGATTTTACCCGCTTTGACCTGGTTGGATCGGGTAAAATACTCGTGAAGCCAAATTTTGTTGCTATCCCTAATTTTCAGTTGTCATGGTGCTGCCTCCATATGAGGTCGGCACATAACCGCTCCCTATACTCAAGTGTTCAGTCTTGACGTAAGTCGTAACCCAATTGATCCTATATATGTGTGCTAACTGCTAAATGCTAAATGCCTTGCCAGGGCAAAGGCCAAAATGATTGTAGGTTGGCAATCAAAGCAAGCACAAAATCACAAACAAAAAAGCAAATATTATCATTGGAGGTATCGTGGCAGCCTGATTGTACATACCAACAATTGCAGAAATCACAGAAACCACCTGACCTGCCCTCTTTTTCCCTCTTTTAACGTCTAATTATTTGTTTGTTTATTAACCCCAAATCTTAACCCTAATTGATTGCACAAGAAATTCAAATATAAAATCTCCACGTCTCCTGTCTCTTCAACATCTCATAGGTTCTCCTTTTCTTTTCTTTTCTTTTTTTACTATTTATTTATTCCTCAATAAATCATTTTTCCCGCAAAGTCACCTTTCCCGCCGTCCCCTCCTGAAACCCAGAGATCCCATTTCTTTCCCTCCACCCCATCTCCGCCGGCATCCCCACAGCCGCTCAAATCTCTCTCTCTCTCTTTGCTTCCAATCCATTTCCCTCCCTTCCCAATCAACAATCGATCAGCTTCCCCACATCCTCCAGCCTGCCTTGTAATCAACAATCAATCATCGCCTTTTCCGGTTCATCCGAAACCCTAAACCCAGTTTCTCCGGCGGACGGACTTCCGGCCAATCCCATTGTAAAGCTCCTCTCTTTTCCCCCTCCGCCGTATTGGGCTGGCGATTCCAACTGGAAATTCATCTTCGCCGGTCCTCAAATTTTTGCTAAATGGAAAATGAAGCAACCGCTGCCCTGATCGTGATACCCAAGCTTGAGAAGCTATCGGATGCTGCAGAAGAAGGAAGGGAAGGGGAAGGGGAAAGGATCGAATTGAAGAGCTTGAGATTATGTTTAAAGTTTCTATGCGTGGAGGATCAATCCAAGCTCTGGACGTCGTGCCTGTCGTGGTCGGTGTTCTTCCTTCTCACCGTTGTCAACCCGATCGTCTCCCACTTTCTGCTTTTGTGCGCTGATTGTGATCAAGAGCACCAGCGACCATACGACTCCGTGGTGCAGCTGTCTCTGTCTCTTTGTGCTATCATTTCTTTCCTCTGCCTGTCTTATTGGTCACGCAAGTATGGGTTCAGGAAGTTTCTGTTTCTGGACAAGTTGGATGATGAGAGCCCCCGGATTCGTCGAGGATACCAGCAGGAGCTCAAGGTAATTACTAACTTATGTTCATCATATCTGTCTTTAAATAAAAACTGTGAGATCGTGGAGTTTGATACATGTCAATAACTAAATGATCCAGGAGAGATATCTGAGATCGAGTTATTGAATTCGTGGTACCGTATAGGTCAATCACCAATTTGTCTCTATAATTCGTCATATCTTGGGTATGAATCATTTGATAAATGTCGAGGGTTTATCAAGAACCATTCATCTCGATGATTCAAGTTAATGAATGAACCATTAGTTGGAAAATGAAGGTTCTTCCATGATTCAAAATTATCCTACATGAACCTAAAGTGATGTATCTGAGTGGCGGGTTAGACATAGAAAGCAAAAATGAGCTGAGAATTCTGCCATTTACATTCTAGACATTGCTTTCCTGTTTTAATCGGAACTAAAATTGGTAATCTTTGGCTCGAGACAGAGATCAATGGGGCTTCTGTGCACATTTGTGCTGCCCTGTTTTGCGGTTGAGAGTGCATACAGAATATGGTGGTATGTTACTGGAGCCTTCGAGATACCCTATGTGGAGAACATGTACTTGAGCGACACAATCATCTGCATATTGCAGCTGGCCTCCTGGGTTTACCGCATCTCGATTTTCATCCTGGTCTGCATTCTATACCGGCTCATTTGCCATCTCCAGATACTCAGACTGGAGGAGTTCGCGGACTTCTTTCAGACTGAGAGCGAGGTTGGTTCGATTTTGAAAGAGCATCTCAGGATCAGAAGGAACCTAAGGATTATAAGCCATCGGTTCAGAAGGTTCATTCTCTCGTCTCTGCTCCTGGTCACCGCTAGTCAGCTGATGTCATTGTTCGTCACTACTCGGTCATCTACTACTAACAACATCTATGAGGCTGGAGAACTCACGGTACCACATCTATCTATGCTGATTGCTTGATCTAGAACTAAATAAATGGCACAGTACAAAGGACTTGTTTGTTCAAATATGTACAAATTTGTTAAACAAGCCGTTAACCCTATTCTACAAACGAGGCTGGATATTACAGAATCATCCGACTGATTATCTCTTATGGTTGTGTGTTGGCAGCTCTGCTCTATTAATCTGGTGATAGGGCTATTCATATGCTTGCGAAGTGCAACGAAGATCACCCACAGAGCACAGGCCATTACAAGCCTTGCTGCCAAGTGGCACGTCTGCGCAACTATCAACTCATCGTACGATCCAAACATCGCGGATGGCGACACTCCAACAAGCCATCAGGTATCTGATCCCGGCTGTGGTCAGGTGCACCCCATCAATATTGGGTGGGTGTTGGATGAAGATGGGGATGATAAAGAAGAAGATGACGATGATGAGAACTCCAATATCTCCAACATGGTGCCGATTTTCGCACATACAATCTCTTTTCAAAAGAGACAAGCTCTAGGTAACTTGTGGTTGCATATACCCAGAGGCTAAGGGCTCCTTTGATCTGTTGATGTTGATGACTGATACCTTTTTTTGGTTTCTTTCTAGTGACGTATCTAGAGAACAACAAGGCAGGAATGACGGTGTTTGGGTTCATGATGGATAGGACGTGGCTTCACACCATATTTGGAGTTGAATTAGCCCTCCTCCTATGGTTGCTTAATAAGACAATAGGTAATCTATAGCCAATGCTGATTGTTTTTTGTTCGCCTTTCTCAATGGCTATTATTCTTTTGCTCCGAAAATACAAAAAAGATGAGATAGAAACTTGTACCTCTTCTTCTGCTGATCTTAACGAGTTCTAATGAAATCATTCACTTATCAGAAAAAACAAACTCGTTCATGTACTATCTTGATTATCTGTTTTGAACCCTTCGATTATGAATTTTGTCAAATTTTGACAAAATTCGGTACAAGCTGTATCGATCCATAGTAAGTAATCACGCTTTAGATGGCTCACAAGTCATATATCTGCTGGAAATTCTTGTTTTTTCACCCTTCAACAATTCGACTCTCCAACCCGGCACCAGGAATTCATGTTGCTGTTCTTTTTGTGTGTTTGAGAGCAGTGAGTTTGACTTGAAAGAAGCAGTAAAATCAGCTGGACGCTTGAGTGCTGGCTTGCACATCATGAGAGAACTTGCAGACTGATGATGCAGCAAATCAAAGAAGACAAGGTTTTTCCATGCTTATATAAGTTTTGTGGTTTGCCGGTTTCCTGTAACTCTTTGTGTATAATGTATAGATAGATTTTACTCGATGGTTCAAACCCATGTATGGTATGTGTGTATTTTACTTGGCTGAGTGACAACTAATCTAAATTTTGTACGGCTGGGGGCAAAACAGTGTGCGTATGTATTTTGGTGCGTGCAGATTTGCAGTGTATTCTTGTATGTATGTCATCTCATTTCATTTGTAGTCTCTTATAAAGATTGGGATGTTTATTTTGCCGTTTTTGCCTCTCAAATTGATTCATATTAGGATATGATTTGGGGTGGGATGTGGGTTCATCTGTGATTTGATACTGAGCCACCCGTAAATAGTATAAGTAGTGGGTGGTGATTGGTGTGAGTTGATTGTGGATTGAAAATTTACTGCTCGTATTTATTTGGGTGGGTGATGGGTGGGTTGCGTTGTGTGTGGGTCACCTAAATGATTCGGAATGTTTTTGAATCACTTTTTTTTCGTTGAATATTACTATTATTTTTATTATGTTATGTTATGCAATGCCAATTTGATATTGGATACAAATTTAATTGTATCTAATTCATAAAGAAAGCTAATTTTCTCTACATAATTTGTTGATAGATAGAGTAATGAAAGTTTTTATATGTTGGCCAAAAAATGAAATCCACACAAATGAAGATCTTGATCTCTAGGAGTATGTTGTTATTGACTATGTTTCTTTGTGAGTGAATACTTTATTTACTATCGATAATCCACACAATTTACATAAACAAAATTGTTTTATTATCTAGTATAGTAATCTGCCTAGTATAGATAATAAAACCATTTACATGTCACAATTACTAGACGGATTTACAGAAAACAAAGCAAGAAGTGTCTACATTGCTAGTTACTAGATTACTTTTCGGGTAGATACTTTCTATTGGAACTCGACGAGTTACTAAACTGGCCACAACAACCAATGATATGGACCGAACACATACATTAATGATAGCAACTAGCAAGAGAACCCCAGTGCTACTTGATATTGTACAAAAAAGGACATGTTGCATGACTCGTAGTCGTAGCACTACTCTTTTTGCTTGTTAATGACGAATCGTAACTCATGATTCCAGAGTTTACTCGAAACTCACAAATAAGAACACAACATAAGTGACGACAAATCTTTAGTTTATTTTTTTTTTTATTCCTTTGGATTAATACCGAGCTTACATTTATATAATGGTAATGTTTATTTTTTATCCACACCTTTTTTTGATTCTTTTATATTATCTAAAACTATTAAGACGCTATTAATTAGTCAAATCTTTCGTAATGTGTCAAAATCTAAGCTATTTTTAAGTAATTGTTAATAATTTTGTAACTCTTTTCTTAGTTAAAATACCAAAATTTTAAAATGTTAACATTCATGTGTCTCTTCCAAGTCAGTATCATGTTGCCAAGTCAATATTACAAACAAAATTGCTAACTGGAAGTTAACATTTAGCTAATTATTAGTATTTCGATAGGTTTGGCTAATAAAAAAGAATCTGAAAAAGGTTTGGCTAATAAATTCATTACCTTTTATGCATATGTTTGGCCCAGCTTTTAGAAGTGCTTTTCGACTTCAAAAGCTGAAGCAACGCCAAACACCTCTAAAAGCTCGGCTTTTGACAAGGCCAAAAATCGCTTTTGTATAACATAAAAGCAGAAACTCCAATTTGGAGAATCTGCGAAAAACTGTTTTTAAAATACAAGATTATCTTTATCAGAAAATATAACTTTATTTCAGAAAATATAATTTTATTTAATTTATATCATTTTAAGAATAAAATAAATTATAAAATCATATTATTTAATATAAAATAAATATAACAAGATCCATTTTGACTACTTTTTATTGTTTAGAATATTATTCATAGTTTATATTATAAGTCCTTTACAATCATTTTACACAATCTCTCATATTAAAAAACACTTCTAATAATTTTTCAACCAAACATGTCAAGTGCATTTTTTTTTAAATACTTTTCTAAAACTTCAGCGAAAAACTGCTTCAGCCTACCTCTACCGACTACTAAATACTAATGCTACGGATTGGACAAAGACTTGGACTTCAAAGTTCAAACTCTACCTCAAGACTCTAAACCCCAAATAAAGCCCACGTCTACTTCCCCAAGCACGCCCAACCTCTTCCGCCGAGTGTCTTTATCAGTTAATCCATCCATCCCTTGCATTCCGAATCTCCACTGCCGCGCGACCCCTTTATTCGATGGTATCTAGAATGTCGAGTAAGAACTTCTCGAGGCCTTGCCGGCACAGTATCGTCGACATCAGTTTGGCGTACTAACATTCCATAACTTCAGGTTTTAGATAAGGATGGCAATTTTGCTCATATTCATGGGTTTTCTACTATCCAACCCAATTGGGTTGGGTATGAAATCCAAATAGATGGATATAGATAGAATTTGATAGGTTTGTACCCGAAATGCGTTAGGGTGGAAACTGAATTTCTAGTAGCCAATGTGGCTACATCACTATCCACCATTTATTTTCTTCTCTTTCCTCTTTTTTTTAATCTTACGGTTAAAATTGCCGTAGGATAATTTTGGAATAAAAAAAAGGACCACACTTGATTATTCTATATATTCTACCCTAACCCTACTTCTACCCTAACCCTACTTCGCCCTCGTCTCCAGCATCGTCGCCCTCGTCAGCGCCACCCAGGCCGAGAAGAGGCCGCCCCAGACGTCGGAGCTGCCGCCGACGCGAGGCGCGTTCATCCGGCGTACCCGATGACTGCGCCTATGCCGAAAGCGCCGCCGATGTCGTCGAGGATGTTGTCCGGGCAGGCTCCCTGGATGTTCTCCGGCGTACCCGATGACTGCGCCTATGTCGAAAGCAGTCGCCGCCGTTCGACAGCCCCATCCTGCACCCGAACACTTCCAGCGCTGCGCCGGCGGCGGCGAAGATAACGCCTTCCTCTTCCATTACCTCGTTCATCAGATCGGCGTATCGCGCCAGGGTCGGCCGCTCCGGCTCCGCCGCAGCCTCGTACGCGACCAGGTTCCGCAAAGCGACGTGGCAGTGAGGATTGATATGTTTTTCTTTAAATGGTAGTCTTTTTTTTTCGTAGTGATTTTTTTTTAAATGGTAGTCATTTTTTCTCGTAGTGGTATTGTTATTGTCGTATTGGTATTGTTTTTGTCGCATTGGTATTATTTTTGTCGCATTGGTATTGATTTTGTCGCATTGGTATTGATTTTGTTACATTGGTATTGATTTTGTCGCATTGGTAGTGATTAAATCTGCAATGGTATTGATGTTTTGTGAAATGGTAGTGTTTTTATTTCTTGAATGGTATTGATGTTTTGTACAATGGTAGTATTTTTGTAATGGATTGGTATTGATTTATTGTTGCAGCGGTATTAGTTTGGATGAACGAAATCAAGGAAGATTGCGAAAAAGAAGGAAGAGAGATCTGACTGAAAAATTGTGGAAGTGAGAGAAAGAGAGAGAGAAAAATTGTATTTAATATATTTATGTAATTTCCTAAAATGTAATTTATTAAAAAAGATCATTAATAAATTTTTTGTTATACCCAATTTGCCCTTAGTAACCACGGTGATTACTATAAAATAGTAATCACCGTAACCTGTCCCGTTTTTTTTGATAATGGTGAAAAAATTGTATTAAAGAAGAAACGAGAAATCCACAATCCAAAAGGCGGGAACAGAAGTTCACAAGAAGCGAACCACTGCCGCAAGACAAATACAAAGCAAAAGGAACCAAAACTACAAGAGCCGCAACTAGGTGGAACAGACCACCCCTGAAGCGGAAACGGAAACGGAGCCGCAACCACAGTCCTGCACAATCAGCGAAAAAGGAGAAAAGTACTAAAAGAAAAGGAAATACAGGGGAAAGCCCTCCTTAGCACCAAGACAAAGGGAACAAGGGAAGCATCCCCTCCTCCCCAAGACAAAGGCGAGACTTCCGACACATGATTCCACAACGCCACACCATATAAGAAGATCCACTGAAGCAGTGAAACAGTCGCAACATGCGCCGTGAACACCGATCGGGACAGCGACGACCAGCGCCCCGGCGAAGGCTAGTGCGCACCAGCCCCCCCTGCTGCCATCGAACTGGCCTCCCCTGTAATCTGCAGAACACTTCCGTGAAGATGAGACCTCAGCCATCCTGCCCCCTGATCTCTGTCGATTTTACCATGGGCAACAAACCATTCAAAAGTCGATCTAATTGCTTTGATAAACACGGTTTTAGCACTGCTTATACTGTCTTGGAAGATCCTCCTATTCCTCTCCAACCAAACCTGCCAACAAACCGAATGCAATATGCCGAAGGAAATCCAATCGTGAAGGTTGTCAGGTTGATCAGAGTTCCAGCGTCGAATGGTAGCCAGAATATCTTCATGCGTCTCGGCCTGACTGCGGCATACCTTCATCACCTCGTTCCACACCTCCTTCGCAAAGATACAATCGATGAATAAATGATTAATCGTCTCCTCCTCTCTGAGACAGAGGGTGCATCTATTAGCCAGCGAACATCCTCTTCTCTTCAAGTTGTCAAGGGTCAGAATCCTCTTATGAGCCACGATCCACATGAACGCATTCACCTTGGAGGGTATGAACCTGCGCCAAATGGAGTCGTTGGGGAAGTTGCTCACTCCTGGGAAGCGATCGTCTATAAGGAACCTGTACATAGAGCGAACAGAAAACCCCGAGCTGGGATCGGGAGACCACACAAGTCTACTAGGACCACAAGCCATTTGATTAATGTTAATAGATTCAAGCAGATTCACAAAACCAACCCTCTCAATTTCAGCCCCCCTCTCAATTGAACATTTAAATCAACATTCCACAATAAAATCTGACCTGTTTGATTGATGTTGTCGGAGATCCAAGCCTCAGGCAAAGCTGCGGCAGCGGCGACGCGAGGGAAGGATTGTGCAAGGATCGTGTTCGGGATCCAGCAATCGTTCCAAAAAGAGACTCCAGCCCCCCCTCCGGGGTCAATGTAGGCCGCCTTCCAAAAGTCATCATAAGATTTGGTGATGTTAGCCCAGACTGATCCACCGAACCCTCTCCTGCACTTTTTACTCTGTCATTCCGAATTCTCAGCTTGGTACTTAGTTCTGATCAGCTCCCTCCACCAACTACCGCGTTCAACGCCGTATTTCCACAACCATTTACTCAATAAGGATCTGTTAAAACACCCCATATCTCTGATCCCCAAGCCCCCGTTCTTCTTGCTAGCTTTACATAAATCCCAATTGAGTAAGGGGGTTTTGGAGTTATCCCCAGCACCACTCCAAATAAATCGTCTTTGGATTTTTTCTATGTTCTCCAAAACCTGTCCCGTTTGTACCCATAACTATTTACTTTGGGTTGGGTTGGGTTTATAACAAATGGATTTGGGTTTGTACCCATGCCTAAATACAAATTACAGTTTGGTACCTAAACTTAATATATATGCATATTTAGTACCTAAATTTAATTTTTTTGCATATAAGTTCTCAAAATATCTATGGAAAATTATGTTTTAGTACCTAAATTTTTTTGGTCTTACATTTTGGTACCTAAAATTTTCAAGTTTTACAAATAGGTCCAATTTTTGCATGTGTAGTTAAAACACCCTCAAGTAAATGGATATCCATATCCAACCCATATCCATTTAGATTATGGAAGCAATATTCATACATTACCCAAACCCATATACAAACCCCCAAACCCATATGCACTTCACACATACCCAACCCATTATCAATGGGTCTACTTGGGTTTGGGTATAATTACCCATGGGTGGGTAATTGTCATCCCTAGTTTTACATATATGTATTTGTCGGTCAGGTTCATGGGAATAGACTTTTTTTTTTACGAATCAAGTGCAGTCAAGTGAGATCTGCACATGGCAAATCACTGTGCCAAAGAGTCTGTTGATACAAATAAGTATTTGGCGGATCAAGATAATTGAGAGAAGGACATAAAGTTCGTGCTCATTATCTTAAGGAAGGAGAGGTTTCGCAAAATGAAAGGAGGAGAAAGCGACCGGCGTATTTATATGAAGAGGAGCTCAACGGACAGATGTGGGAATGCGCGCCGACCTTAGGATTAAATCCTCACCGTCCTTCCAAATTTAAAAAAAAATTCAAATTCAAATTCAAATTTGGAAAATGCACGGTGAGGGGCGGGTGTATAGATGGGCGCCTGTAGTGGGAAAAGGTTGGGCGCCTGATATAGGAGGTCAATAGGCGCCTATTATGTAGAATTGGTGGGAGAATGGGCGTTTTAGAGCAGTGCGGCAAAGGCGGGCGGAGAGCTTCGACAGGGGTAAAGGAAAATAGTGGAAGGCGGAGAGGGAAATCGAAGAATGGGAAGAAAACCGTTTACAAGTTCTCAGTGGGGACGCAGGCAAAATGTCAATATAATGGTAGACACAGGGGGACAAGAGGGTATGGAGGAAGCGCCTATAGAGGTGTACACGGAGAGAGGACACGGCTGCGAGGAGCGCACAGGTATAGTGGTGGGCATAGGGGACAAGGGCGTGTAAAGGAAGCGCTCATAGAGTGGCGTACGAAAGGAGACACGACAGCAAGGCGTGTGCAGGAAGTGATATCGGCACATTTATACATAGTTAGGCACTCATCGTTAGCTATGAGCACCTAACTGGGGACAATTGTTGGGGAAGTAGGAAAATGCGCAAGCCCATGAGGAGGGAAGGAGAAAGCAGGCCCAAACAATGAATTAGGGCACTTAGCGGAGGACAGGCGCATGACGACAAAAGAAGAATGTGGACAAGTGGTACGGAAGGAAGAGCTAGGAAAGAGGCCACCTGGCGAATTGGTCCCTGCTGGGCCCCCTATCGGGTGTTCTCAGGCGGCCACGTACAGGCGCCTGACTCTTGTACGTACAATGCATTAAATGAAGCGATGACGTGGGTTCAAGTGCCAGGATGACCGTTGAGACTTCGGCGAGTATAAATAGTACTCGGTAGGTAGCATTTATGGAGGTTGGCTTCTCTCACTAAAATATTTCTTGGCACTTATCTCTCTAAAAAAGTGCACTGACTTGAGCTTCGGAGTGCTAACGGGTCGACCAAGGTCCTTAGGCGCTTGTGGGTGCAGGTTCCAGGCGCTCGTGTGACGGATAAGTGCGAGGTGGAGGATAAGCGCTAGAGGGTATCTTGGCACGAACAAGTATCATACAAGTGCACTATGGAGAATCAAAAGTAACATCCATCACACTCACACTCTTCCCGATGGTCTTGGACAGGCGAGGGACATAAATGTTCTTCCACAATGCACATGCAAATGCAGTATTATTGACTCCAGGCCACAATTATTGGTTTCTGCTTGCTGTGCCTGTGTGTCGTACACTAGAATAGACAGCAGCAGCAGCATAGTTGGGACCTCAATCAGCAAGTGCCACTATTTTTTACAGAAAGGGAGTGAGTGCATCTACATGGAGATTTGAATTGCCTTCAGAATCGCTCTACGACCTTATTACCTTACAACCATGTTTCCAATACGGTTCGTGTTGCTCTGAGGAAGAAGCCTGCAGCTACATCATCTTCGATTTGGTCCCTCCACAGAGTACTATTACTAAGACCACCACCACCATCACTGACCTCCAGCAATCACCATTATCATCATCTCAAAATCAACCTAACCTCCGCAGAAACCATCAAACCGTCTTCCCCAACTCCCGCCGACTCGCCACATTCAACTTCAAGCTCTCCCTCATCGACAACATAGTCCCCGCCAATTTATGTGCCTCTCATCTTCTTTTTCCTTCCTGCTCCCGGATCCACGGGATCAAAACCGCAGGGAGAGAAATTTCGAGACCCTCAAGTCCTCACTCGCCCAGACCTCACGCGCTTCTACCCACTCGCCGGCAGGTTGTCCAAATCCGTCGTCCATTGCAACGATGATGGCGTGCCGTTCTCTTCCGCCGCGCGTTCGACGGCGACATCAACGATTCCTCCCTGGCTGATTTTCTCAGGAGCCGAATCGAAATCGACTCGCTCCAGCAGTTCCTCCCTTTCCCCGCCGAATGGATCTCGGACCTCGAATCGGTGCCGCAGATCGCCTTCAGGGCCACCGCTTTCCCCTGCGGCGGCCTCGCGATCGGTGTTTGCTCGTTGCACAAGATCGTAGACGGCCACACTCTGGCCGATTTCTTGAAGCTCTGGTCCACCGTCGCCAGGAGCCATGAGAAAACGGCGGCGGCGGCAGTAGGCGGCAGCGCGTACGCTCACAATCGCGCTGCCACGTCACTCCTGCCGCTGCGGCACGGCGATGTCCCCGCAACCGCAGGGGATTTTGTGGCCCAACAAGGAGGGAAGATCCGAACGAGGAGACTCACATTCGATGAAGAAGCGGTTCACGCGCTGAAAGCCAAAGCGAAGAGCGTGGAGATACCCGACCCGACCCGGACGGAGGCGGTTGCTGGTTTTTGTGGAAATGCGTGATGAGTGCAGCGGCCCGAGCTGCGTCGGCAGACGGGCAAAACCCAGATCGGTTGTCTCAATCGGAGGTAATGCCAATATTTTGCGTTTTAAATGTACAAAGGTCAAAACGCAATGAGCTTTCCACTACCCACCCACCACCTCGAGTTATTGTCGTTGATTGATTCATTTTATTTTATGCAATTTTTTATCATAGGAATGTCGGTTAACCTCCGATCCCGAATGAATGAGCCATGGCCAGATTACTCGATCGGCAACATGATCTGGACGGCTATGTCGTTGTACCACAACGATCACCAAAAAGACTCTTTAGATGATGGAACAAAGACACTGCAAGAGCTGGTACGTACATTGAGGGGGTCGGTTGCGAAACTTGATAAAGAGCTTATGAAAAGTTACAAGGCGGAGATGGGAGAGAAGAGTATCTGAGGAATCTGGAAGCATTTTAAAAGCGGCAACGGTGGCAGATGCTGCTGCTAAAAACGAGAGTATAATAATGCCATTTACAATAACTTCCACGATTGCACTGAGATTCTACGATGTTGATTTTGGATGGGGAAAACCTGCTTGGGTCACCATGGCTCAATTCCCCAACCTGATCCCGAATTTGGCCGTTTTGTTGCAGTCCCCGGTGGATATGGTGCTGAAGTTTGGCTGACCTTGCATGAAAAAGAGATGGTCATGCTGGAACAAGAAGTTGAGTTTGTTACTTATGCTAAGAATAATATGCCTGTACTTTGAACCTTGTATGGCCCCGGCTACCTATTCTTCTGCTAAAAAATCTTCCAACATTAGAAGAGTTGTATCAAATAAGTAAAAACCTACATTGCTTCTAATCGTTGGGTGTCATATAAGATAAATGCGATGTGCGGTCTATTTTCTATTTATCTCTACATGTGTAAAAATGAATATATTAATTTTCTGAAACCTTTTGCTATCGGTGACTAAGTCCCAATATTTATATGGCATAGGATCATAAATGTGCTATATTTCTTAACCACCTTGATTCTGAAACTACACCTAGTTACTTGTCATAACTAGCTATTAACTTGTATTTTGTGGTTGATATCAGTTAATTAGATCACTTCACCTTTGCTACAATTAGTGACTTCTCGTAGCTAAAGAGACCAATTAACTATAGTGAAAATTCATGGCTAAATTGTATTAATTGCTACAGTATATGAAATTTGAATGTGAAGGATACCAATTAACTATAGTGAAATTCATGGCTAAATTGTATTAATTGCTACAGTATATGAGATTTGAATCTGAAGGATACATCAGCTATAATCAATCTTGTCAATGGCTATACAATTTATTAAAAGCCACAGAGAGAAATATTTGTAGCTATTAGTTAGAAGGCTTAATACCCTATTTTGGCCTGAAGTTTGGCGATAGTGACGATTTTGGTCCCAACTTTTCAATAAGACAGTTATGGCCAACTTTTCAAAATATTGGACAGATTTGGCCTAAAATTTATTTTGACTGTTAAAACTGACGGTCAAAACTTATTCCGTTTAACTCACATAAAAAATGTTGAGGTGGCTCTGACGTGGCTGCCACATCAGTTATTTAGTGGGTAATGTTGAGTTAAACGGAATAAGTTTTGACCGTCAGTTTTAACAGTCAAAATAAATTTTAGGCCAAATCTGTCCAATATTTTGAAAAGTTGGTCATAACTGTCTTATTGAAAAGTTGGGGCCAAAATCGTCACTATCGCCAAACTTCGGCCAAAATGGGGTATTAAGCCTAGTTAGAATTAGCCAGAAGTGTTTATTTGTGACAAGGATTTTGTAGCTACATGCGATGATTGTTGTAGTGAAGAGACCATTGATTTCACAACATAGATTGAATCTAAGAATCATGTATGCTATTTCTTTTTCATGAGTGGTCACTGAAATTATACAAATATTTCACGTTTGCCACCCAAATTACTTTTCTTTTTATCCGCAATTAACTTTATGAATCATTTCACTGTTAGTCACCGGCCGTTACACTCCGTTAAATTTGTCCTACGTGGCAGTCAACTATAAGGTTTGACCGTTAACTAGATGACGTGAAAATTTTAAAAATTAAAAAAAATATTTTTCCAACTCATTATTCCACTTACTTTGTCTATATGATTTAAGATTAAATTAAAACTAATTATTTAATAAAACTTTATTTTATGTATCTACGTATTTGTGTATCCTCTTTAGGTGAAGTATGCAAGTTCGTCCAAATATATGCTTTTAATGTCAATTTCAATCTCCAACATATTCGTTCCAGATGTGATCTCGGCCTGTTCTTCCATCCCATTCTGACAAGGGTTTGTAAGATTAGCTGCAATTAGACAAGTACAATCGCAAACAGCGAATCAGAAAAGAGATGAACAAACTTAACATACTAACTGAATGTTGATCTCTGGTAACAAGCAAACAAAAAGGCAGTAGAGAATGGGTTAAAATTTTGCATTTCGTGCTCTACCTATGAACAGAGCTCTCAAAAATGATATAGCAGTAAACTAAAATGACAACAGCGCAGAAAGTTCATCTTTCTTTGTCAGGCTTTTCTCCCCTATTTTCACCATGATCTTCCTTTTCTGGTGCTTCATCTCCTTAATGCCCAGATTTTGGGCTTCTCGAACCTACCAAGTTATCAAGATATGTCTTTCTCGTCACTACACTAGTAAGTGTTGGAAATTTGGTTGAACCGGACTAACCAAGTCAAACCGGTTTTGGGTTGGACCGACCAACGGTTTGGTATTAGACCGACCGAACCGATATTCTAATTCCGTGAAGGGACACATCCCTTTGGCCTAGTGGCGGTTGCATTATTTTATGGATAAGGATAACCTTATGGATAGAGGCAACCCTTCATATGGATAAGGATAACCTTTCATATGGATAGAGGCAACCTTTCGTATGGATAAAGGCAACCTTTCATGAAACAATGCATGGATTCGGCTCCTATAAATATGTGTGGGGTGGATGATGCCACATACCATCAAACAGATTTTTCTTCTTTCTTCCAAAAATTTCTAAGTATGCTTTAGTGTTCTTGAGCCTGGAACCTAAAGTGGTGATAGTTTTATCCTCGGGAGAAATTTCCTGTAACCCAAGGCTTTGTAGAGGGTGGAAATATTCTTTTCGGAAAGTGAACGTAGTTCACGACTCTATCATAATCCTAGTCACCCGGTCTTGGGCTATCGTACGTGTACCCTCGTCCCTAAAAGTCCCAACAATCGAAAAGAATATTTTTCCGGTACGATGGCTCGAACCGCTCTTTACAAGAAACCGGTTCCGGTCTATGGAATTATGAGAATGTTCGATTATGGGTTTTTCATCGATGGCAGTAGAAGATGGGTTTTCTTCATACTTATCTCATGGTGTATTCCATATCCGAAAGGTAACTTGGAAGAGGGATGATTCGAAGATGAGGAAGAAGGAGAATGATTCGTAAAATGGAGAAATAGAAGAATGAAAATTGCCTTTGGGTAGGTCACATACTCAATGGTTAATTGGTCTAATTCTCTATTCGACATTTACGAAGTTCTAGATAAACTTGGATTTGTCTAGTGGTTTGGTGTGTGATTTTGTCTAGTGGTTTACGTTAAACCAAAGAGACGAAATGTGTATACAATGTTTGATGATTCTGGTAATAGAGTCGTTGTGTTTGTATGTAAATGACATATTTATCTTTGGGACCAATCAAAGATAAGTGATTTTGTCAAGTGGTTTATGTTATTTTAAACAAGGAGACAAAATGTGTACACAATTTATGATGATTCTGGTAATGAAGACATCGAACATTCGTATGTATAAGACATGCTTATCTTTGGAACCAATAAAAGATAAGTAAACTTTGATAAAAGTTGTTATTTAAATTCTCCACGTGGGACATGGGGAGGCAAATGTGATTCTGTGTATTGAATCAAGCGGAACGACAAGAAAGAGTCATTCTCTCAATTTTCTGCATGAGAAGGTACTTGCATAAATTCCATAGTAGGAATTGTAGTGAGTTCAAGACCCCAATGGATCCAAGTATGGAACTTATGGTTAATACTGAAAATCAGTTTTACAACTGGAGTATTCCATGTTAAATTGAGGGCTCGATGTATGCATGTTACATGATGCTAGATATCGCATATGCGATAGAACAATTAAGTTGGTATGTGATGAATCATAGTTCTCATCATTTGAAATGAAATGAGGCGTGCACTAGGATATGTCAAAGGCACACTGTTGACTTATAGTGGCTTTCCATCAATTTTGGAAAGGATTTGTTGATGTTAGTTGGATTTCTCATGTTAAAGGTGATACTTCAACATTGAGATGAGTCCTCTTGCTTGGGAGAGATGCCATAGTTTGGGCCTCTAGAAAGCAAACTTGCATCACTAAGTTTCACTATGGAATCAAAGTTTGTGTGACCTTGATTTCGCTTAGAGAAGAGACATAATTGTTGAGAGGTTTGGTTTATGACATAATTTATGGCCTAAACCAAACTCACCTATTACTATCTTTTGTGATAGTAATGCTAATTTGGCTAAGGCATATAGTCAAGTGAAAATGATAAGTACGGTCAGGTGGGAGTATGGCACGGTAAAAGCTGTGAACTGATCATTCATAGTGTTGTGTCTAGACAATATGACCAAACTTGAATTAATTTGGTTGATCATTTGACGAAGTGGTTAACTAGTGACTTGGTGATTAAGTCTGTGAAAGGGATGGATTAAAGTCCATATAATTTCTGGTAATGGGACACCCAATTCCCCTCTAATACAACGTTAGAGGCTGAATTCAATGTGGAAAGCTTATTATCAGAAATTGAAGCACACAATTTTTCATCCCGAGGTATGTGCTTGTTATCCTGCATGAGAGAAGAGGATGAAGTTCAAAACTTCTTAATTGAATCTTTGAAAAAGTGTATTATGCGGGTACACGAATAAGAGATTCAACCTACGTAAGCATGAAGTGTAGCCGCTTCAAGAAACCCGGACTTTGGTTTCGTATGCGCTTATGAGAAGGATTGGACACATGGCGGATAATAGTGTCAAGGCGCTTAGAAGTTTTGAAAACTTAAGTGTATATTATCTTCGAATATTCATATGAGTCAATGGGTTCAATCGTTACCGACACCCTTTGTATTCGAGTATTCGTCAAGTGTAATATACTAAGGTGAAAATTCAATCGTCACGACATTTTCATTTATGCTTAAAGTTTTGTTGGAAGAATGTTGTGATTTTAGTGAATTCTATGAATACACTAAAAGGGGGAGGAATGTTGGAAATTTGGTTGAACCGGACTAACCAAGTCAAACCGGTTTTGGGTTGGACCGACCAACCGGTTTGGTATTAGACCGACCGAACCGATATTCTAATTCCGTGAAGGGACACATCCCTTTGGCCTAGTGGCGGTTGCATTATTTTATGGATAAGGAAACCTTATGGATAGAGGCAACCCTTCATATGGATAAGGATAACCTTTCATATGGATAGAGGCAACCTTTCGTATGGATAAAGGCAACCTTTCATGAAACAATGCATGGATTCGGCTCCTATAAATATGTGTGGGGTGGATGATGCCACATACCATCAAACAGATTTTTCTTCTTTCTTCCAAAAATTTCTAAGTATGCTTTAGTGTTCTTGAGCCTGGAACCTAAAGTGGTGATAGTTTTATCCTCGGGAGAAATTTCCTGTAACCCAAGGCTTTGTAGAGGGTGGAAATATTCTTTTCGGAAAGTGAACGTAGTTCACGACTCTATCATAATCCTAGTCACCCGGTCTTGGGCTATCGTACGTGTACCCTCGTCCCTAAAAGTCCCATTAGTAAGTATCCCCGATAGCTTGGAGTCCTGTTTCGTTATCTCCTCTGTAGCTTTATAATGAGGTGCTACATCTCGTGCAATGCATCGATCCTTCTATGTGTGAGATGGCAGAGGTATAGAGGTACCAACCAAACCCACTGATCATGAACAAAAATGAAGAAACAAGAGCAATATAGAGAGAAATTATTCCAAATGTGTAGTTTTTTATTGGACATTAAAAAGAATTGTGATGATCGTGATGGGTAGGGAATAGGGATATTGAGGAAGGAGACTCCAAAATCCTCTCCCAATGAGGCCTCCACACGCCGGTCAGCCCTCTCCTCCTATGATCCCTCTGCGTCGCCGACACCTTCTCCGACATAATCTCACTAAGATACTGATCCGACGACACAACATCATGCGCCGCCGCCGCCTAAGATGTCGAATTATCGTCTTGCTGTTGTGGTGTGCACGGTGGTCGTTCTGTTTCTTGGAGCAACTGTGGGGCGGGGGGGCATGAGGAAGTAAATCTTGCCGCACTAGAGCTCGGCGTCTGGGGGCACGATGACGATCTTGGGGACGATGACGTCGATGTCATAGGCGGAAGCAGAGCAGGAGTAAGGCTTCTGGAGGATGTGCTTGGGGTAGAGCTTCATCACATCGGCGGTGCGGATGGCGCCGCTGATCTCTTCGAGGCGGCCGTTGGTGTGGACGATCCAACAGGATGCACGAGATGAGATGCAGCACCTGAGGTTGTTCTTCATTAAAAAAAGTATTATTTCTTATTTTTTTAATTTCCACGTCATCTAGGTAACGGTCAAAATTTATAGTTGACTGCCATGTAGGACAAATTTAACGGAGTGTAACGGCGGATGGCGCCGCTGATCTCTTCGAGACGGCCGTTGATGTGGACGATCCAACAGGATGCACGAGACCAATCGTCCAACCACCGCTGTCGTTCCCCCAACCCGCCGGCGCTCCCATTCCCCCACCCCGCCGACCTGCTGTCATTGCCGTGAAAGAATCCCGCTAGCCGAATTCGGCCGCCACAGACAATCCCCTAGCATGCCGACCTGCTATGATTCCCCAATCCGTCGACCCGCTCCTGTTGCTGAGAAAGGAGGAAGAAGAAGGTCGCTGGTCATCCGTTTCTGAGCAAAGAAGCTCAAACCTCAACACAACCAAGCCAAAGTTTTGTACTGCCATCAACAACCCAAAATTGAAAAGAGACACCACAAGGTTTCAGAAGGAAGCAACAGAATAAAGCAAAAAAACAAATAGAGAAGACACGAAACCAAAGGAAAACGTTTACCTTTCCAACAGTTTAGGCAATTCGATCGATACAAGGCTCCGGAAGGTTGGTACCGTTGTCCAAAACCAATCCGTCATTTACCGGAAGCTGGAATCGCACAAACAACAATGAAATGCACAATCAATCGAATTTAGGGATTCAACGAATCGCGGAGAAATGGAGAGAGAGAGAGATGGGGGAGGGGTTACTGATTGGTTTATCGGGGACGATGTGTTTGCCGACGGGAGTCCCATCCCGACGGGGTTACTGACTGACCGGTCACTCACAAGGAGGAAGAAGGTTATTTAAGTCATTTAAATATATGTTAGGGCGACAAATAGAAGTTTTAGGGCGACGAATAGCAATAATATATAGATCAAGTTGCAAATCCACAAACTTGAAAGCCCTAACGTCTAACACAATTGCATCCTTATTAGAGGCATTGGACTCTAGGACATATTATTAGCACATAATAATGGTCGGCCCTGCATCCAGAGACCGGAGATATATGTGTGCGACTCTTAACTCTATTGCCCTTATTTTTTTCCCAAAAGCTGGAAGAATAATAATGACATCACTCTTCAGCTTTAGATGTCTCGACATCCAACTTACAAATCAACCTCTTACCAAGCACAAGACCAAGGCTATTGCTACATTAGAACTCAATATCCAAACAATTGTAGAAGTTCCTCGTATGCACTAAACTCAAAAAGAAAGAAGTATATTGCGGACATTATCGTGTGTTCAACAGTGTGTCCCATCACAATTTAAGGTTATGTTAAGCAAATAAGAATTTATGTTTATATAGACTTTGAGGAGGAAACTTGGGAAGGTTTAGAGAGCAGCAGGATTACCACAAAAAATGCATTCCAAAAGAAACTAGAATGTACTCACAGGTGAGAAATCTCACCAAGGGCCCAGTTTTAGGTTCGTGAGCTATCAATGAGGATTGATTCAGTCATGGTTCTAAAAATCGTGGTTAGCGATCGCCTAAGCTCACCTAGGTGCAAGGCAGAAGGAAAACGCATCGCCTTGGTCGTAAGCAGCAAAAAAACATCACGATCACATTGTGGTCTCGGCGGTGCCTAGTTAGCATTGAGTTGCGCCTCAAAATGATGGCACGATGTCTCTTTTCTACCTTTTGATATGCTACTAGGTTATAGAAAATCTTCTTTTCCTTCTTCAACTCCTGAGTGTTCCTAGCCACTAGGCTAGAGTTAGAGACCACCACTTTTAGAGTAGCTTCTTCTTCTTTATTGCATTTGTTTGCTTTGAATCTGCTCCACTATTTTCCAGCTATTCTTCCTTTCTCATTTCTCCACACTTTTTTATACTTTACCATGTGTTGTTAACGAGGGTTTAGAAATGAGAGGTAGACAAGATAATATTGGTTCATAAACTTATGATTTTAGGCAAGTGAGATATTTTAGTACTTTACATCTAACGCTTAAGCGTATGCTAGGCGCTAGGTAGAGTCTCATCACCCGCCTTACGCTAGGCACTTTCTTGAACCTTGAATTCAATTGAACAGATGGTGATGATGAAGCAATGATAATTGGAGTACCCTTGACAACAAATGCACCTGCTACAAAGACTATTATGTACAATACTTTGACCTGGGTAGATCCTCCTCTCACAAATACTTTCTTCATCCCTACATTTCCAACAAATGCACCAATTGAGACTATTATGCCCACTACTTGTGAGATTTTCCTAACCGTTAAGTATGTGTATACGGACTATTATCCCTACATTATAGTGCTTTGTGTGTTTCCTTCCATACCATGCTTGATTCGATGTTTATTCATTTCCCAAGTCTCAAAGTTTGTCGTTTTGTTTAAACAAACACATATTATGAGCGAGTACCTGTTGAATTTTTTCCCCTCGGTAATTGTTGTCTCGTTTTATAGCTCTTGCTTGGCAAGTTACCAAGCTCTCGAAAACATACTGCATCAGCATTTATAGTACATATACAGTTCACTATCCCTACCATCTTACAATACTACACCTTTCACACCATACCTTCACTATAACAGACACAATAGTGTACGTTTTTTGAACGAGCATATATTGTTGCAAACTAAGGCTTTCCTATATGGTAGCAGTGTATTCTTGCTTCAATTGATTCGAAACTTCCAAACTACCTCTGTTGACGACCATAAAGCTTCTACGACATCGCTCTCTCCATAGCAATGAGATATACCAGCACCAGATACCTCCAGTGAGCTAATCTCCCTTCCTAACTCTCCTACAAACTTCTTCCACCATGCGCTCCCAATCATTAGGCCAGTTAATCAATGGACATATTGCAGCTAGAATCTCCAAAGCAAATGGGCAAGAACAAAACAAATGGGCTCGTGTTTCCTCAGTAGCATGGCATAACACACATTCATCACTATTAATAACACCCCTTCAGTTGTTGTCGAGTATTGATCCTATTCTTGATCACCAACCAAGAAATGAGTCTATGTTCGGGGATGCCAAACTTTCCTCATAAAGCCTTGCGCCATAGAACCTTAACCCCCTTAGCTATGAAGGACTGCCACACTATCTTGTTAGAAAAAATAGGCAGCAACTTTATATCCTAGCTAACAGCATTTTCCTCCTCCTTCTGCAATCGATATTGGAACCACAATCTTAGACTTAGAAGCTTTCTCCAGAGCCATGATCCCACCTATGATACTTAAAGTTCCCATACAGATCGCCCTTTTAATCTATACTTTGAGATCCATGCCACCCAAAATGAATCTCCCTGCATTAGAAGGAGCCAGAGCATTCTAGCAACACATGCTATGTTCCAAGTGTGAAGATCACGTAACCCCGGTTCACCCTCTTCCTTTGGAAGAGCTATATCCCAATTGGCTTTGGCTCTATTTGTCCCTCCTTCGTGCCATAAGATATCAACACAGATTTATTGAATCTTGCTAATAACTTGCTTAGGTAAGACAACTACTGTCATCCAGTATGTTAGAATATGACTTGAATTTGATTTGGGTTTTTGTTTTGTGTTTTAGGCCTATTATTTGGGTTTGGGTTTTGGGTTTGTTTTGACCTTTTCCTTATATGTTTAGGAAAAGGTGTTTGGTTTTCTTTTTGGGATTAGGAGAAGAGTTCTATAAATACTCTTCATCACCCTAGTCTATAGTAAGGTCAGTCAGGTTAGTTTGTTTGGTTTGTCAGTTCCGGAATTTGGTTTGTAACCTATACTCTCCTCAAATCAGTGAAATTTTGTTATCCCCTGTCCGTGAATTAGCTAGCACATATTGTATTAGTGAACCACGTTAAATTCGTGTTCGTTTGTGTTGATCTAGATTATCGTTTGCACGCTTCTGTTCTGACAAGTGATATTAGAGCCTGGTCGGTCCGCTGGGCAAAGGGATCGTGGTGATTGCTGCGGTATCAGAAGGTAGTCTTCGGTTTGGGGTTGGCGGAGGAAGCACTTTAGTATTTTCTCCAAATTTGGTTTGTGGGTTTAGCAAAGACGACAATTGTAAGTTGGAGTTATTAATTGTCAAGCGGTGGTTAATTATTTGATTTAAATCATTACTTTGATTGGTGGCAACAAGCAACTATGCTCGTGGGAAGTACAAGGCAAATTTAGTTTGCAATATTGTGGAGTTACGCTGGGTTTAGGTTGCAATTTGGAATTTGGAAGAGTCCGGCAAAGTTTGAGCTCTTTTGTGGCCGGTTGGAATTGTATTTTTGGGTTGTTGCGTTCTTTTGTCTTGCTTGTTTGGTGGAATGTCAGCAATCACCAAAAGAGTATAGTAAAAAAAAAGGGTATTTGGGTACCCGACTACTCGTAACACACACAAAAAAACGAAACGGGTATTGGGTATACCTAAATACTTGTTTCGCATTGCCCACCCCCTGTCAGAATTTCCATAGCTAAGGTGAACAAATAAAGAGAAAGGGGGTCACCCTGCCTAACCCATTTCCTTGCCGAGAAGAAACCAAACAGGTTGCCCTGATAATTTATACTAAAGCTAGCTAATTCCAAGCAAACTTTAATCAAGTCTATGAATTTTTTGTGGAAAGAGCATCTTGTTCATTACTGTAAACAGAAAGTCCCAGTGCACTGAATCAAAGGCCTTCATCAGGTCAACCTTGACTGTGCTCCTAGGGGATATGTTCTTTCTATGATAGTTCTGAACTATCTCTTGAGCCATCAATATATTATCTACTAAGCTATGCCTTTTATAAAAGCTTATTGATTTTCTCTAACCAATCAATACCTTCTGAAGCCTTCCAGCTAGAACCTTAGCAATGATTTTGTGCAACACGTTAATGCATGCTCTAGGACGAAATTCTTTCATTCTCGAATCATTAGGTAGCTTAGGGCAAAGAGTGATGGATGTAGCATTC